TGAAGGTGACTCCTACCCTGTTAAAATTTATATTTGTGTCCCCTAGTCCTACTATTCTCATTATTAAGTATGAAAAAAGATGATGCATCAACACTATCAATTCCCTTGACAATCTTAAACACCTTAATCAGATCCCACCTAACTCCTCTTCTTTCAAGAGAAAACAATTTCGGAGATCTCAACCTCTCCTCATATGACAACCCAGGCACTATTCTAGTAGCCTCTCCTCTGAACCCTTTCCAATAATTCAATGTCTTTGCTAAGGTAAGGCACCCAAGACTGAACACAATACTCTAAATGTGGCCTAACCAGTGAACTATACAATGACAATATAACCTCTTTATACTTGTATTCAATATTTCTGTAGATACAACCTAAAATCCTATTTTCCCTACCTTTAGCAACAGCACACTGCTTGGATGGCTTTAGAGATCAATCAACTATTACACCAAGATCCCTTTCTTTCATGACACAATTAAATTAAACAAAATTAAATAATCCAAATTATACTTATAATTTAAATTATGATAACCCACATGCATTATCTTGCATTTATTATGATTCAAACCCATTTACCATTTATTTGCCCAACTCACTAAATGATCTAAATCCTTTTGTAAACCAGCAGCATTCTCTTCACAGCTAGCAACACCCACAACTTTAAATTTAAAGCTATTTCAATTTGTTTGAAATTACTTCTGGTTAATGTGACTCAAAACATAATAGGAAACATTCCATAATAATTAGCTATCATTTTTAATGATCGTATACAAATGAGTATTTTAATATTTTGCAGTGTTTTGATTTATACGTTTTCTTTTAAACATTATTGTCAAGAAAGTTTCTTCCAGAAGTACTAAAAGATCAAGGGATGACTTATTTAATTGTTTATATTCCTGACCATACTGTAATACTAAAAGACCAAGGTACAATTCCCCAATTACATAGCTTTGTTTTTTTAAAATTCCTAGCATACGAACTTTATATCTTGAGTTGTAAGAACCAGTGTAAAAACAGAAAGTTTCATGTTCAGATTTTGGTTACTAATTTGACCAGAATATGTTAAAAATAATGTAGCATGGATTTTTAGATGTTTGTTATCTTATGATATAGGACTATAAACTCAGTTTCAGTAAATATAACATACACATTTTAATTTGAGAACCTCAAGGAACAGGTTTTTTGAGCTCTACTTTAAAAGATACAGTGTGGCTAAATCTCAGTTGTTTATACAGCCCATTCCTATTATATAATGTGTTTGAAAGTTTCTAACAACATGGATTTCAGATCTGGGATATCACTTTACCCAGGACTTAAGTTCTAGAGAACGTGTTTGAGTGTTAGTAACAACATGGATTTCAGATCTGGAATATCACTTTACCCAGGACTTAAATTGTAGAGAACCTGTTTGAGTGTTAGTAACAACATGGATTTCAGATCTGGAATATCACTTTACCCAGGACTTAAATTGTAGAGAACCTGTTTGAGTGTTAGTAACAACATGGATTTCAGATCTGGAATATCACTTTACCCAGGACTTAAATTGTAGAGAACCTGTTTGAGAGTTAGTAACAACATGGATTTCAGATCTGGGATATCACTTTACCCAGGATTTAGGTTGTAGAGAACCTGTTTGAGAGTTAGTAACAACATGGCTTTCACATCTAGAGTATCACTTTACCCAGGACTTAAGTTGTAGAGAATCTGTTTGAGTGTTAGTAACAACATGGATTTCAGATCTGGAATATCACTTTACCCAGGACTTATGTTGAAGAGAATCTGGATTGTATAGTTGCTGTTTTTCGTTTTTTATGAAAGCTAGAAGCTAGTTATTTTGTACTCCTGTTCTGCATTGTGTAAAATTAAAAAAAAAGAGTAAGGCTGTATCGTACTATGTTTGTTTGATTAAAATCCCATGTTCTTATGATTAGCTGAAGAATAAAGTCTTTCTTCCTGTGTACAGTTTTCAATAATTCTTCACATTTAAAAGGAGAGTAAAAGATCAAGATTCTATTAGTAATGTTTTGATTGCAATTACATCAAGACTATAGATTTTTTATTTTAATGAGACATAATTTTAATGATTGTCTGGGAAGTGACAGGGAATTGTTGGTTTTTTACAAAACACATCTTTTGGTTTGATATTTCTCATGCTGGTTACAAAAAATATTCTTTTTTTTAGATGTTTTTTTTATCTCACATTTTGTCATTGAAGCGGAAAATGTATAAACATGTATATAATTTCAGATATACGTGTTGACTCAGAAGATTTTGAAAGATTCTTTAGAACAAAACATTACTGTTGTAGAAGCTGCTAATCAGCTAGCAGAAATCTTTGGACAGCAGGAACATCCTCTGTGGCCAGGTCGGACAAGAGCCATCATCCAAGGACTTCTGGATGGTGGGTGGCATGAGGGTCGGGACTTCTGGCTGAAAAGAAAGAATTTTGCTTTTACAGATTTTGTATGATCTGGAGAATCATTCATTGTTCAAGAATAAGCCTATCTCTAGATAGTTTTACTTTTCCAAATGGTAGACATTATTTGTTTGATAGTGCTACTTAAGGAAGGTTCTAATACAATTTTGTTTCTTTTTATGTCTGGGAAAGCATTAGAAGCTGTGATAATCCAGTTTTTTATTTATATGACTCTATTGTTGAAGAAAAAGTGATTTAGCAAAATGTTTTTCTCTTGTTACAAAAATAATATTCATAAGGTAATCTTATAGGACTCTTGTGCATTTATATTTCTGTAACAATTTATTGGGTTTAAATTAAGAAAATTATTTAGAATCTTATTATTTACATTTCTGATATCTTTAATACAGAATAATTTACATGAGGTAACATCTTTCTGTATCCTTCAAATTAAATACATTCAACTTAGTGATCCGCAGCAGAAAGAAAACCTTGAGCTAGATATTGTCACATCTTCATATTGATATGTTACAAACAACAAGACATAGATATTTCTATAGGATCAGTATAGATGTGCTACAAATAGCCAAACCTGGATAATATTTGTGTTCATATTGATATGTTACAAACAACAAGACATAAATATTGCTATAGGATCGGTATAGATGTGCTACAAATAGCCAAACCTGGATAATATTTGTGTTCATATTGATATGTTACAAACAACAAGACATAGATATTGCTATAGGATCAGTATAGATGTGCTACAAATAGCCAAACCTGGATAATATTTGTGTTCATATTGATATGTTACAAACAACAAGACATAGATATTGCTATAGGATCGGTATAGATGTGCTACAAATAACCAAACCTGGATAATATTTGTGTTCATATTGATATGTTACAAACAACAAGACATAGATATTGCTATAGGATCAGTATAGATGTGCTACAAATAGCCAAACCTGGATAATATGCGTTAATATTGCTGCATATGAGAGCTGGATGATGCCTTGTGTTCATTACAGATGGGCTACAAACAGCTAAACCTAGATGATGCTGTGTTCATACTATTGCACACTACAAGAACTAGATAATGGCATGTGTACAGTACAGATCTGCTACAAGCAGCAAAACCTAGATAATGCCATGTGTTCAGTACAGACCTGCTACAAACAGCTACGCCTGGATAATGCCATGTATTCAGTACAGACCTGCTACAAACAGCTACGCCTGGATAATGC